AGAGGTAGAGAGTTCGACCGTCAAGCCGAGAAGCTCGGCTTGATTCGGTATCTAGCCACCCCCCCACGAGGGTTGCATGCGACACAAGGTCATTTTTATCGTGGGTTTCCTGAGCCCATAGGCTCAGCCAAAAAATAAAAACGAGATCAGGGTAGGTCATTCACCCCGAACGAGATTCTGCCCTTCGGCGGAACCTCGTCCGGGTTCCTTTCTGCTCAAAAGCAGAGAGTTCGACCGTCAAGCCGAGAAGATCGGCTTGATTCGACCCTCTCTCTTGAGAGGCGTTGTATACATAGTGTTAGGAAGAGTTCATTCTGTATTTATAGGTAAGGACCCATGACATATATATATATATATATATATATATATCGATAGATAGATGTGTGTGTGTGAGTGTGTGTGTGTATGTGTGTGTGTATGTGTGTGTGTGAATGCGTGTAGTCGCAGTTGCATCAAAGCCATCTCATGCCAAAGTAACATTCACAACAGTTAACCTTTATTTACACGGTGACGTATGTTGCGACAAGGTTCAGTGTCTTCAGACAATTCAATGGAAGCAGTTGTCATGTAACAGATGTGAACAAAGACTCTTGTTCTACCAATGGAAACTGTTTTGACATTAATCGGAAGGTCGACCATCGAAGACTGGATTGTTGTTCAGGTAATTACTACTTAGCGATGTCTCTCCTGTGTGTTCGTAAAAGTGATCGGATGAACCTTCGTAAATCTTTAAAACTGGTTCCGGACGGCCATCTAGAATAGACGTTCGGTCCTAAAAGCACATATCAATGTCGTCCCACGAGTGTAAACAGTGGCCGTGACGCCAAACAGGCTTCCGGTTAGTTTAGTATATGTCCGTGCATACTTGAAGTGGTGAGGCTAGATGGTCAAAGATGGTCAACTAGGATAGGGAATGCTGCACCGTATTGATCAGGGATGAGAACTTTTTAATGATTTCATACAAGTGATAATCGTCTGTGTGTTTGACGTATTCATTCACGACAGCCCGGGCAACCCTATGCACCATAACATGGGGTGCAATATGTTGCAGATCTCCATCACGTTTCCTATTTGTTGTGGAGAGGCTGAATTGCGCTCTGTGTGTCAAGAACAGTTCATTGAATTCTGCAAATATTCCTGAAAATAGGAAAAGACGTGTTGCTCCTGAGGAGCGTGGGTGAATGCCGCTTACATGTAGACAGTGCCGTTCAACATATTCTGCAGAAATACGTTCAAAGATGTCTCAGCACGACAGGATTGTCAAAACATTCCTCATCGGAAATTACCGGAAAATCATTGGTGCAACGATTCTAAACGCAAGAGAGATTTGAACAAATATAACATATGTTGGCATTCGATATCAGCCCTATCGTATGCTTGAGTGGATAAAAACGTATGTTAACGCTCGTAGTGGTTTCTTTTTTTCATCTATATGATGACCTTTCCAGACATTGGCGATCGCGGCTCTCTACAACTTCCAATCAAAAAAGTCAAATTTGCCCTTTCACCACTGCTCAAAGTCTCTGTTCTGCATCTATTTACACGTTTGTTTGTTTTTTTAATATTTTTTAATCAGTATCGCCCCCCGCAATGGAGTAGAGCCAATAAGATGCAAAGGGTTACAGGCTGTGAAGGAATTAGAAACAAAAACATTAATAATGAGTAGAAAGAGAAACAAATAATCAGGAGGACATTAGACAGCAATCGACATTGCATTTTTTTTTTCAGATTAAAGTTGGCTGGAAAGCATGGACCCGGAATGGAGTTCCACAAGCGAGAAGTGCGAGAAAAGAAACTGATAGCCTAGAAGATACGGCTACATCTATCTACCAGTCTAGTATTGTTCTTAAATTCGTATTTTAGATACCATAGCGAAGAACTCTTCCGAACATTTATTATATATTATACACCTGAAGTATTTATAAAAAAAAAGATGTCACAGAGCGCCAACCTTAGGCGGTAGGAAAGTGACTGAAACCGAGCCACCATATCAGGACCAATAATATTGCTGATTCTTCTTTGAATCTTATCAAGGAGATCCAGGTAAATAGCAGAGGCACAGGAACATATATGGCAGTTATATTCTAAGCATGGACGAATGCACGACTTATAGATATGCAAGATAGATTCCGGAATGAAAAAGTGTCTAGCACGACACAACGAAACGACATTCTTAACAGCTGAATTAGCAATGGATTCAATATAGTTTTTCACTTCATGAAAGCTGAGAACGTTAGCTCTAGAAGGTGCAAGGAGTCATTTTTCTGAAGGTTAGCATCAGCCATGATGATGGTATGCAGATTTGGGTTTCTCAGATGATTAATGGTGACGTTTATGTTTTTTAATTAGATTACTTGCTGTTTCCCTCTGTAACATTCACCTTCAGAATGTCTTGTGAATGTCAAATTCTTTAAGCCTTCTTTCCTCATTATCTGTACAAGAAATTTCAACAGTTTCGTTCTGATTTATTGCATAAGATTCATTTGTGTTTACATTTGCCTTAAAAAATTCCTCGTTTCTCATAGTTTCAATCCTTGCTATGCTCAGCATCTTTCTGTAGAACCACATTTTTCCTGCCTCAAGTCTCTTCTTCATTTGTGAGGACAGTTTCTAGCATTCACTGACATATAAAAGGACTGGTTCTACACTGTCTCTAACAAAATTTTCCAGTTTCTTAATACTTTGCTGAGCTTTTGAAAAGCATCTTTAGCTATACAACTACATCTCCGGATTTCGGTGTCACATATATTGTTCTCTGTTAAAAATATTCCTAGTTATTTAAATTTTCGTACTTGATTGATTTTGGCATTTCCAATTCGTTGCCCGCATCTGACGGTGTTCCTATAGATAAGACATTTATATAAAAGCCTGAAAAAGAGTTGAAATATTCCTTATTTTGAAATATTTCACGAGGATATCTCATTTCTAGTTTTAAGGATGAATGAAGTTTGATTATACGAGGGTCTGTTAGAAAGTTCATAAGTTGACCAAGATATGGTCGGCCAATTGTTTTGGTATTTTGGTGTACTAGCGTGTCTTTTAGTTTATCAACTGGTGTGTCAGTTTATATTTCGATCTTGGTCAGCCTATGAACTTTCTAGCCGATCCTTGTACATATATTAGTCCCATTTTGTGTGTAAGATTTGATGGGTTTCTTTGCAATAATAACCTTTTTCTTCTTCTTGGTTTACAATTTATTTCTACGCTAAAAGCCTTTTATCTTGCATATTTGTTGTAAGGTTATGTGTAATGATTCCATAAACTAATTCATTAATAATTCACTTTCATTAAGAATCCGATTCCTTCATTAATATATTGCATTATTCATAAATTCATGATCCTCAACAATGTCTCCTTTAATTTCTATGTGCAATATCTTTTTAAAGCCAGAAGATATTTTTAGCTTGTTTGACATAATAATGATTTAATGATAATTTCATACTAATAAACCCATAGCTTGAGGAGAGGAGAGGTGAATTCATAACTTGAATTTGATAAACAAACAATAAATGTGTATATAAAGTGGGGGATCACTTCTATATTATAGTCAATACAAAAATGTACTCTCACTTTGTGATCATGATTGTTTCTATACACTTATATTCCAGAGAATGTAAGTATATATAAAAAGACATGTCTGTGTAGCTAATAAGTATTTCGTTCATTGATTCGATTCGCTTAATACATTTTGCAGGTTACTTAAAAACAGAAAATGTTTTTAATTTGTAAGAATTTTTCGTTATTTTGGAGATAACAATTGCTTAATGATACAATTCTTACAAATTAACTGTCCTGGGTAAGACGATAAACTACGTCCAGCAGCACGGCCTCTAATCAAGAGGTTTTGAAGAGCATGGAACCACCTCTTAATTGCTGGTGTTCCCAAGTTCACCATCTATGGCCAAATACTTAACCCCGAATCTTGGGTGAAAATACTATGAAAGTGTAATAATAGCTTTTAATAACAGAAATACTTTGTAAAAAATTATTACCAGCAATAATTTTTTGAAGAAAATAAAACTATTACCAGCAATATATTTTTGAAGAAAAAATATTACAATCAATACTTTTTAGAAAGAAAAAGAAAAAATATTACCAGCAATAAATTTTTGAAGGAAAAAAATATTACCAGAAATAGATTTTTGACAAAACAAAATATTACCAGGAAAAATGCTGGCCTTAAATAACCCATTCACGTTTGTATGCCGTAAAACAAAAACAAACTTACTAATTATCCCATAGATGGGAGAAGAGCTGGAAGTGAATATAGTGAAACCAACAGAAGTTTGAACTCGGATATTAACAATTCCGGGTCATTATCTATTGCAACACACTCATATCGAAGATTACACCTCCTGGAATTCGTGCAGTATCAAATCTATCACTGAATTTCTACGGAGTTTGTAGAACGTAGCTGTTTATTAGCAAATATCAACTTTGAAACTGCGTTTACGACTTGATATCTTCAGCTGAAAAGTGGAAAACAGTTCATGACCAACTAAGCAGTATGAAAATATTTAAACATTGTCAAGTCTTGAAAGAGAAGTTTATGTAGCACCCATCTAATTATGGTAGCAATACTCCATTTTTCTTCTGAATTTACTCTTGGTGCCATGTACATTCTGGAGTGGTTCAAGGAATCGACTATCTTTCCAGACGTCTCAACGATATCTTGAGGTCTACTGTGAGCTTACCTTCTAATAAGTAAGGAAACTTCTTTATATTTGTATATTTTTTTACGGCTTACCAACATTATGCGGATTATTTAAAGGCATAAAAATGTTTTAGATTTTAGGAATGTCGCGGAGATAATAATTATTTACTGGCGCAAGTTCTGCTAATTAACCCATAGCTGGAGGGGAAAAAAGAGATGAATTTTGATCTTTCCCAAGTGTATTTGCGCGTAATTAAATATAACGAACCCGAGTGAAATTGGAACTCGCGTGTGGGATTTCCAATTCCGAGCGGTTATCCTTTCTACCGCCCGCACATCAAATCCCACAGCACCCGGTGTTCCCCAACAGTCACCCATCTAGGTACTGATCGGGATCAACGTTGATTAACTCCGGGGATCATACGAGAACCAGTGTTTCAAGGTGATATGACCGTAAAGGAAATTTCTTAAGATTACAGCCGTTGAAAATGACTTGACAAAACGCAGCGTCTGTTCTGCGATGATGAAACCTTTTGTAGCTTGGTTTTGGAGGTAAAAATAATACTTGGAGAAAATTTAAGAACTGTCAAGTTCCCATTATATTCCCAAGAGACTGTATGAATGACCCATCATGGTGCCGTAATGCTCTATTCTGCTATGCGTCATATGTTATAAACAATGTATCTCTGAAAAACATATGTGAGTCCTTAATAAATCAATATATTTGCTACCATAATATTCCACGTCCGACACGCTTGTTTTGCTCTTTGTTTCCTGTCGTTCATTTTTACTCTTCTGTCTTTCTTTTTCTTTCTTTTGTTGCTTCATTCGTTTGCTTTCTTTCTCCTCTCTTTTTCTTGCTCAACCCTTTCTATTATTTTTCTTTCTGACTTTCGTTTCTTTTTTTTTTCATCTAGGCATTTTTTTCTTTCTATGCTGTCCTTCTATGGTAATTTTCTGAGCATAGAAAACTGAATGTATGGAACGCACACTAATGACCGAGGCTACTATTCTGTCGTAACTGATCTAGAGAGACAAGCTTGTTAACCATTACACCACGTCGAGATGCCCAAAGATTTACAAAGCGTAGCTTTGATGTGGCACAAGGCCGATGAAGATCGAACTCACTATTCAGTTGTAATTAATTTAGCGAGACAAGCACGCTAACCATTACCCCATGTCGAGACGATCAAAGATTTTGTAAGCGGCACAAGGTCCCCATACTTTCGGACACAGTGAGGATCGAACTCACTATCCTGTCGTAATTGATTCAAAGAGACAAACATTTTTTAAGCGTAGTCTCAAACAAGGTCCGTCCAGACGATAAACTACATCCAACAGCAAGGCCTCTGATCAGGTTTTGATGACCGTGGGACCACGTTTTAATTGCTGTTGTTCTCAGGTTCACTCTGACCCCAGTGGTAGAATCTGTTAGGCAAATAGTTGGCCCGCAAACTGGGTCAAATCTCTAGGATTAAGTTTTAATACCAGCAATATATTTTCGGAATGAACTTTTGAAGAAGCATATACGTTTAAAAAAATAAAATACCAGCACTATATTTTTGGGAAAAAAATATATTAGTAGCAATACATGTTTGAAAAAAATATTACCAGTAATAAAAATCTTCTCGGCATTGAATAACATATAGTGGTTGATATTGTCGCAGTTAACTCCTCCTTAATTGTCCAAATTGTTCACTAGGGTACGCTCTCCCTAAACTGTAAATACTGGACGATTTCTTGCCGCGTCCTCTTTTTCATTTCTTCATTTTCAGCGAACACATCTACAATGTAAGCTGTCGCAGAAGATTGCGTCTTCCCATTTGTGGGAGACGCCATGAACATTATATACACATAAACGTAGGTACGAACATTCACCAAAATACAAACTCTTTACGTTCACACACAAACACAAATGTTAATGTCTATGTCCATTGTAAATGTTGTTGTTTAAGACATATACTTGTTTGCATATATATATATATATATATATATATATATATATATATATGTATGTGTGTGTGTGTGTGTGTGTGTGTGTGTGTTGGTTTTGTTTTTTTTTTCTTTAGACACCTTTGGTTGGACTCAACTTGAGTCCCTCATATTCTTGTAGTGGAACTTTTAATATTCTACCAGGAGTTACACACGTGTTCCTAATTTAACAACACGTAAACCCCGGTCCGATACAATATGCCGTTAAAAAAAGACACCAAACAAGGCCGATGGTACAGGGAGCAAGTGAGAATCGAACTCAATATTCATTCGTAATTGATCTAGGGAAACAAGTTTGCTAACCATTACACGACATTGAGTTGTCCCAATGCTATCCTTACTTGCAATGGTAACTTTTTCTTTCTTCATTCTTTTCTTTTAACTTCCCCCCTTTGTTTGTTTTCTTTTTCTTTTTATCTTTCTCTTTTTCTTG